CCACTGCGGCCCTAGTGCTTTGTACTAGTGCTGCAACGGTGTACTGGTCCTGTACCGGTGTACTGGACCTGCGCTGGGTACTCTGTCCTGGCTTACTGGTGCTGCACTGGGGCCCAGCACTGGGCCACCGGTACTGCCCCACTGGGCCACTGGTACTGCCCCACTGTGCCACCCGCTCTCCAGTAGTTACCGTCCTGGGTACCCTGCCCGTGTATGGGGTTCTCTGCGCCACTGTACTGGTGCTGCGCTGTTACTGCTCTGTTGAACGGGTACTGATGCAGCACAGGGGACTGGTGCGCCGGTGCTGTGCTGGTGCCCTGCGCTGACACTGCAGGGTGCGCTGGAAACCCCAGGTCACAGCCCCCGTGGGATGCTCTGCCCACCCAGGAGCAGGCCCTTACCCAGGGCAGGGAGGTCCAGCAGTGCCCCACTGCGGGGTGATGCCACATCCCATCTCCCTGTGACACAGAAAACCCCGGAAAGCACCAGGAGGCTTATCAGGGTGGCCACACTGCTGTGTGAACAACCGGCTTCGAGACGCCCATCCCAGCAGTCCCAAAAGCAAAGGAAACCTTGTGCATCAGCTGTCACAGGGCACCACGGGTGCCAGGGACATGCACACACACACACGTGCTGTAATCCCTGTTTGTGGGACAGATGCACCAAGTGCACCCTCCAACACAGCAGCACTTGAGCTTTCACACGTTGTGTCGTGTACATCAGGGTCAGCTCGATAACCTCGGTGTATCGACCACATGCAAAACTGGGGGGAGGAAAGCGGGGGGTTTGTCTCTGTGCCCGTGGAGCTGTAGAATCAACACCTCGATATATTTGAACCGAAAGCTCTCAGGGGCAGGAGCTGAGCCTGGCCAAGGCGTCTGCATGCCGGCTGCACAGTGGGGCAGGCTGGTGGCTGCCTGTGCAACAGGAAAAGCAGCAACACCTAGAATTAATCTGGAACTCGTAATAGTTCACCGGCAGCTACTCTGTACCTAAATACCATCTCGCGTAGCTTCGCCTTTGTTTACTCATCCCTTTGGCTCCTACTCCCTGAGTTAAGAGTCCATCAGCTGATTAATTCATCAGGCCACTTGGTTTGGTTTGTGCTGCTCCATTGGCTGGTGCCAGTGTCGGGTGCTGGTGGTGTGCCCGTCGGGGCCACGCTCTCCCGCTCCCACCGAGCACAAGCATGTGCAGCACCCACCAGCCCACAGAAAGAGGTGTCTGCTAGGGGAGAGGGCTTCATTACCCTCCTCCTTCATGAAAGGCTAGAAAATGTTGGTGGTGAGATGCTGTCCTTCTCCTCATCCCCTCCCTAAGAGCCTTCGCTCCGCCTGTGCTCCCACGCCGTATGGCGGTGCGGGAGGATAAAGACAGCAAAACAGCCAGAGCAGAGGAATGCAGGGGAAAGCAAACATGCTGCACACAGCCAGGCCAAGTACAGCTGCCATTTTGCAGGGAGGAAAATGAGCGGCACAAGCCCAAGGGCAAGGGGGGAGCCTGGGGCGGGAGCAGAGGGGGGCCAATCCTGCCCCTGGCTTGGAGCTGTGAGGCAGCGCTGCTGCCCTTCAGCACAGCAACGCTTGGGGGAAGGTCAGTCGCTTTGCTGGGAAGCCTTAGAAGAGCGGGGAAAGGAGAAGCAGGTTTTGCACAGAGGCGAGGGGCTCCCTGCTGGCTGTCCCTGCGATCCCCCCGATTGCTCTGCCAGGGACACTGGGGACATCCTGTCCTGCCATCGATGGATTTCCAAACCAAGCCTGGCACAGCCATGCAGCGAGGGGCCAGTGCCAAAGAGTCGAGTGTCGAGCACCAGTGGCAATGGTTCCAGCGTGTCCGGTGAGGTCTGGCCTGGGCATGCACCCGCACCTCCCTTCTTCCCTCCCTCCTTCTCCCTCCATCAGGCTTTCCTTCCAAAGCCTGCAAACCTTCAGCACCCCAGAAATGCAGAGTGGCCATCCAGGGGTGCCAAAAATCCAGTACCTTTGTCAAAATTTCTGGGAGCACTCGGGCTCTGCCGGGATGCTTCACTCTGCCTTTGCCTGTGATGATTCCCTCTGCCTCGGGCCAGCAATTACAGCTGCCTCTGATCTTTCAGATACACTTCTCCAGCAAAGAGTCTGCCGGGTCCAACGACAGCAGAGGTGCAGGCAAAAGGAGCTGTGCCAGCAGGCACTGAGAGGTTGCAGAAGAAAAGGAGAGGTGCTCCCAAGAGGTCCCCGTGCCCTACCACTGCTCCCTCTGGTCCCTTCCTCACAGCCCGTGGAGGTCCGTGGGCTCCCTCCCAGCCCTATGCCTTCACACCCTGTTGGATTTTGATGCTGAGCATGCCCAAATTTCCATTCACACTTCTGCAGTGCTCCCGTCCTGGAAGGCCTCAGAGCAGGCAACAAACCCCTGCTTGTGAAGTCCCCGGAGATTCTAGATGGGTCGATAAAATCCAGGCGGCTGTTTCATCCACCCCTGTAATTGCAGCCAGGGCTGGGAGCCATCTCCAGCCGTGCCTGGGGACGCCGGCGGAGGATTGGCGTAGCATGCAATGTGCTCGGGGACAGCAGGGTCGTGCCCTGCGCTTGCAATGACACCTCAGGTGCCACCAGCGCCGAGGGTGGCTGTCGAAGCCGGTCCCACCAGTCCTTGCAGGCCCGCGTCCAGCTGCACGTTTGCAAAAGTGCTAATGATGCAATGCTCTGCCCTGCAGTGGCACCCCCCGAATCTTGCACCCAAACACTGGCCCAGCCCAAACCCAGTCAGATCAGCCAGGCTGGAGTTCAAACCCCGTTGTTTATTCAGAGATTCGTAGGGCTAAACGCCAGAGAGGTCCACTCTGCTCCCACCTCCTGCTTGCCCAGCCCAGGCAGTGACATCTGCAGCTCTTGCGTCAGAGCTAATAACCCTGCGGCTGAGCTGGAGCGGAGTTTTTTTAGAAAGACTCCTCGCCTGGGTTGAAAGACTTGAAAGGTGGTGAATCTGTTACGTCTCTCGGGAAGGTAATTGCTCCCCCTATTAAAAACCTGTCATTTATTTCCCATTTGAACTTTTCTAGCTTTGCTTTGCAGCTGCCGGATGTTACGCCGTGGCTGCTGGATTCCAGGTCTGTTTGAGGCACCTGTCCTTGCACCAGCGCAGACCCCAGTCTACCCAGTTCCTTCCCTCCCTTGAGCTGGTTTCCAGGCAGGTTTTCCAGCCCTCAAAGTGATCCAAAATGCTCTGAGAATGGGCTGTGACAAACCAGCAGTGATTTCACCAGGGCTGTCCGCAGATGCCAACCCTCCAACCCCTCCTTTGTATCGGTATGGATCACGCTAGGAATTCCAGCCAGAAAACGGCTCTCGCAATCTCCTTTTTGCTTGTTCAAGTGCATCACTCGCGTCCCACGTGGCCGCTGCGTTCTGCAGCCCAGCTCGGGGGTTTGGGGAAGCATCCTCACCCCGGGATGTGCCATGGCACGTTGCTGGGCTAGGAGGGATTGGTTCCTCAGTGATTCGGAGAGGATTTTTGAGCCAGACCCACTGTGGGACCCACGGTGTGCAGAAGCAGGGACCCACGGAAGATGCGATGATCTTGGCCGGTCTCAGCTGCACAGCACCAGACTCCCAGCCCAGCACCACCATGCTCCATGACCCCGTGCTGCCGGCAGGGCTCCGCGCCCCAAACGCCACCTCTGCCCTGCGGCTGCCCCCGGTGGCTGGGACAGCGGGGACGCCCCGGTGGGCAGGACAGCGCCGCCCTCCCGACTGACTTCACCCCCTCAG